CATGTTGAATCAACACTAAAAATAATTGAAGAAAGATTCTATAAGGCAGATTAGCCTTTCTCCAAAAAATACTTGCAATTGCAATATACTCGTCATTCATCTGATGACTTCAATAATTATTTTGTTCAACAGTAGTCGAAACATTTTGAAAAAAAAATGCCGAGTACTCAGTACTATCCATTATACCTCCAATGTTTATACAATTCCAGCTGGTTAACGGAAAACATATTTTTTTTTAAACAGTTATTTATGCCTATGGAACACACACTTGAAAATGATTCATTACTCAGCTGCACAAGGAAAGGGACCATAGTCAATAATAACAATTTAATTTTCTTGGCTTCCCTTCTTGACTTAGCCTCATTATTGTTCTGCTGTATTTTCTCATCGTGAATAAACATTATCAGTATATTATTATAACGTTCAAGCCTTGTGACTCCATGTGAATTTCAGGGCGGAATTCCATGTGAAAAAGTGGCTTGCATAGGTTATCTTCAGTAAGTGAATTTATGTTTTGTAGACAAAGCGGTGCCCTGACGAACGCCCCCCCAACGAGTTCTTCTCCTAATCAAGAGCCCCCCCAAGTGAATGGTATGCCGCAGCAAGGAAATATCCCCCGATCTACTGCTACGGTGCATCCTTTCACTGTAGATACCAGGCAGATGGCTGTGAGTATTTTATAATGATAACCAAATTCAAAGATGAATCCGGGATCACATTGTTGGGTTAGGTTAAGTCTAAAGTTAGTGGGTTTGAGCACTTAGTTGTATTTTTCACACAAAATTTACAAAGGACTACCAACTTTTATGCCTCTCACCAACAAAATAAACAATAATGATAGCTTTTATTGCCCAACAGTTAAAAACCATTTACAGGGTTAACTAAGTACATTTTCTATCAGGATAGATACCATGAGATTTGAAGTAAATAAACTTTAGGAAACGACGTTGAACTTTTTCAATTGATGTATTGTAGCAATTGTAGAATGGAGACCATAGAACAGAGCCATATTCTAATTTTGACCGTACGTAGGTAACATAAAGAGTACATAGAGCAGATATGTTTTAAAAAGATCTACAATTGCAAACTATGAAGTCATAAACTCTCAATGCTTCACTTACTTTCGATCTAATGTGGTTGGAAAAAGACGAATTTTGATCAAAATATAAACCAAGATCTTTAATTGAGTTACTTCTGCAAAAGTAACTTATTACAACAGACATAATTACTGAGGTCATTAATAAATAATAAGAACAGAGGTGGTCCGAGAGTCTACCCCTGAGGTACTCCAGATGAAGGATTGTAATAAAAAAAAATCATAGCTGTTATAAGATACACACTGTTTGCATTGAATTAAGTATGATTTAATTTAATATTTTATTTCTATGTGCAATATTTCTATGTGCAATTTCTATGTGCAAGTTTGTCTATCTAATGCTCGTGTGTTCTGGTTTCAGGCTCGACAAAACCCGATGTATCAACAGAATATCTATTCTCCCTACCCTCAGTATTCCGCAGCAAAGCAGCAACAGAGCGTTCTAGCCGCCAACTACCCCATTCACCCTGATGTGAAATTTCGACGACTTCCTTTTACAGAACAGCACGCCTCTGAAATATGTCATCTTTGTCTCATACAGGTAACATATTCATTGTCCTTTATTAGCTATAACCGATGTTGCCAAATGGTAATACGGGGTTTTAAAGCTCTTTCATGAAAACTACTTGATTCTCGTCAGGAGGAACATTCCCCATTGTGTTCGAAAGTGAAGTTGAACTGTAGGTTTTGCCATGGAGCCTCCTTCGGTTATAATCTCCAAACGTTTCAGCTGCAACTGTGGCAGTCATCTTCAGTGGCGTAGTAGAAGTGCTCTTCTTGACGTATCAACTGATACCTAACCTATTTCTGTAACGTTTTGGATTCAGAAGTATAATTGTATATACATGATTATGTTAGTGGGTTTCGCTGAAACTTAGAATTACCCATGCGTTTCATTTCAGATTATCCATGATGTTTTTAATCTTGGTTTAAATGTGACTCGACTTGGGCTCTAGTTTTTAAGAAAAATAAATATTTTCAACCAATTAAGGCAATAATCTCGGCAACGATGAACTGTCACACTGATTGGTTGGATATTCCAATGGATGTACTGTTTGTCGAAGTAATATTTCAACAAATTGTTTAGATTAGTCAGTTAATGAAAAAATTAATAATCTAATATTAGTATTAATATTGCAACCAATTGAAATTCAAAATAAAATTATATAAAATGAATATTCCAGTTAAACTACAAAGAGCCTTTAGTCAACTTGTATGAACTATATCATTCCATAGTCCAGCTGTCAGGTTGACATCTATGACTTGCGCAATCAAGTAAATTCAAAGTAAAGAAAATGTTTGTTTCGGCGGGTTCTGTTATAATTTTCCTTTTTTAAAGTAGAATATCTAGGTATGTATAAATTATTTCAACTTGATATAGGCGCTGTTGCCAATATGTGAATTAGAAACAAATCCCTTTAAAAATTAAAGCCCAACATTTGAAACATTAATTTGAATACTTTTCGAAGTGAATTTGAAAAACTCATGAATTAAACTCAACTGTATTTTGTTTAAACTTGCATTTGCTGTAATAACCCAAATTGAGGAACTTTCCCCATATGTACGTACACATATGCAACAAGTACTTGAAAATTATTTATCACTCCACTGTTCAAGGAAATAGACTATAGATAAATTTAAAAAATGAATAAAAGCCAATATCAATGTATAATGTACTGCTTGATAAACTTCTTACCTTGTTAATTTTGTTTTTAGAATACAAGAAGGCACTTTCTACTTCCACCTCACCCCTCAGCAAGCTACCGACATAGCCAGTTCCAGAGACATCAGACCAGGAGTGAAGTGCGACTACGTGAAGCAGGTCCAGATGAGGTTCTGCCTGCTGGAAACTACTTGCGAGCAAGAAGACTATTTCCCTCCGAACGTAGTCGTGAAAGTGAACAACAAGTTGTGCCCCCTACCGGTCGGTAGACAGACTTCAGCCGTGTATGGAATTATTAAATGAAACGTTTCATTTTACAGAACCCCATTCCTACCAATAAGCCAGGGGTGGAACCAAAGCGCCCGCCTAGGCCCGTGAACATAACGCAGATGGTGAAGTTGAGCCCAACTGTTGCGAACACCATATCCGTCTCGTGGGCAGCAGACTACGGCAGGGGTTACGCAATAACGGTAGGGTTGGTTCACAAGCTGAGCTCTTTGGATCTCCTGCAGCGGCTCAAGAACAAGGGGATAAAGAACGCAGACCATACGAGAGCGCTGAGTAAGTCTGAATCTGTATATCAGCCAAATGGAATAAATTTGAAAACACATGAATGGGGGCCTGTTGGAAGCAAACTCTTGGATGTGCCGATTCATTTGCTTATTTATTTGTGACATTGTCTATTCGTACAAAATAATTAACAAATTCATTCATATGTACTGTGACCATCAGCTAGATGTACGGAAAAAATATTGAAAATAAGGATGGCAAAAATAAGCAAATCAATTTCAATATTTTCACTGTTTCTTTAAATGATTCCAAAGAAGTATTAGAAAGTTGTAAATCCTCATTGTGAGTGTTTGCAAGCCTCAAAATTCTACCTATACACTCATTCTGGCCATAGTTGGTATGATGGAAGGGTACTTTAAATATTTCCGTAGTTTAACAAGTTCCGGGGAAATGATGCTACCACTGATTATTTTGTGAATTACTGTGAGATCTGATTCTAATCTTCTATGAGTCGGAGTATTCAAGTTAAGATTGTTCAATATGATTTTATAGTTATATTTACCGATATGATATCCCAGTTTATATGCATAGTAGCTGAAAAACTTGTTTTGAACACTGCAAGCATATACATTATATGAAGGGCACCAAACTATAGAGTTGTATTCAATTATTTATCTTACAATGGAGAATGCTCCTCCTGACGAAAATCAAGTAGTTTTCATAACGCATTTTAAACTTATCATTTCAACCTTTTTCTTTAAAAAATTATTTAAATACTTGAAAAAGAGGAATGAAATAATGCATTCAACATTTAAAGGGATTCGATCATGGATTCATGATATTTATTAATTGCTATTTCCTCATGCTCTATTCCCCATTTCATTTGTTTAGTGCATATTTTTTGAGGGTAACATATTAACTTAATTAGTGACAAGGATGGTTTTTTTAAGCTTGTCTTGCATACATCTTTAAAAACTGATGCAGTAATTCGACCAGTCCTTTGTCTATACCACTCCTCTGATGTTCTCTGTCCTTGAGTTTTCACTTCTATATCTGAAGCCATGTCCCTCCCTACATCCATCGGGATGGTTTTTCCTAATAAAATAAGTTCATCCAGAGTCTTTTTTTCATGTTTTTTATTATAGATCCCGAATATTACAGGAAGTAATGCTTCCTCTTTGTTTATTTCAGACGCAAATGGCTCGACAAGTCTCATTAAAGCTGNAAATGTTTTGCCCTCGTTACCACTTGTTCATGAAGATTTTATATGTGGCTTAAAAAATTCTGATTCTCGATATGGAAATTTCTATCTTCTACGTAAAGTCATCACATGAAATTTGGTGAAGCTATGGAGGTTGATTATCGAGTATTTGGCGTATATCAGAAATAACGAAGGTCTTAATATGGAACATTGTGGAACGCCTGACTCAGTGGAGACTTGTAGACTTTCAGTAATATTAGTGCCTACTCTAGCAATCACTGGCATAGAATTTGATTCGTGCTTTTCGAAATGCAGTTTTCTTCATCTCCTGAAGAAGCAATAAATCTGCCTCCTCATATTTCCGAATCAATTGAAAGTAGATTTAAGAAATTGTACATGAAATATGTCAGGAATGTTCTAAATAATCCAGAAATTTAATGAAATATAGGGTGCTGCATTCAAAATAAGAAAATTGGTAGTGTCTACACCATGAGCGTTTTTTGAACATGAACATTAATTTTTTTAATTTATTCAATTTGGCTAATGCCGTATAGGATCCTTCATTGATAACGGAAATTTTTTCTCGCAGTCAAAGAAAAACTGAACGACGACGACTGCGAAATAGCCACAACGTCGCTCAGGGTGTCGCTGATGTGCCCCTTGGGTAAGATGAGGATGACTACCCCATGTCGAGCGATAACCTGTAGCCATCTGCAGTGCTTCGACGCTTCGCTGTTCCTCCAGATGAATGAACGGAAACCGACTTGGAACTGCCCGGTGTGTGATAAGCCGTCGCTGTACGACAATCTGGTGATTGACGGGTGAGTCATTTTGCAATCAGGGGGGAAAGACAGGGAAGGCGGGAAAGAAATAGAGAGTGGAGAGTTTAGAAGCTGAGGGTATGAATGACTAGAGGAGAGAGTAAAGAGAAAAACAAGCTGGAGAGAAAGTGATTGATTGGAGTATGGTTGAATGATGGGTAATAGAGAATGAGAGGATAGGAAATAGGAAGGAAGAGAGGGAAAGGAAGGCATGAAGGAATCTAGAAAATACTAGTTGAGAGGGCGAATTTAATTCCAGAAGATTTCCAGCATCACTCACCTTCAAATGTGAACTCCCACCTCTTATTTTGGATAACAACATTCTCGAGATGAAATTGTCCTCCGAATTCTTAGGACTTCACATTGATAATAAGCTTAAATTTGAGGATCATATTATCAAGTTGAATAAAAAACTTGCATCTGGCTGCTTTGTAGTGAAGTCAGTTTCGAAGGAACTGGGTAGAACCTTTGCAAGATCTGCGTACTTTGCCTTTGTGGATGCACATATAAGATATGGTGTTGCCTTCTGGGGAGTATGCAGCAAAAGCATGCTGCAGACTGTTTTTGTTTTACAGAAGCGAGCCGCCCGGTATGTGTGCGGGGCAAAGTTCCAATATCACTGCAAACCATTATTCAATGAACAACGAATTCTGACAATAATATCTCTATTCATTCTTGAAACAGTAAGTCTGATTCATGGAAATATATCTGCTCATGATGATATAAACGAGCCACACTATAATAGACGTCAAGCTAACTTGATCAGACTTCCCCTGCCCACAACAACAATGGTGAAGGACTCATTGATATACAATGGAATAAAGATGTACAACAAAATTCCCATATATCTGAAGAGTTATCCGTTGAATATTTTCAGGAAAAAATTAAGCGACATTCTGTGGAGTATGCAGCAAAAGCATGCTGCAGACTGTTTTTGTTTTACAGAAGCGAGCCGCCCGGTATGTGTGCGGGGCAAAGTTCCAAGATCACTGCAAACCATTATTCAATGAACAACGAATTCTGACAATAATATCTCTATTCATTCTTGAAACAGTAAGTCTGATTCATGAAAATATATCTGCTCATGATGATATAAACGAGCCACTCTCTCTCTGTCTCTCTCTCTCTGTCTGTCTGTCTGTCTGTCTCTCGTCTGCCTCTTTGTACGATCAGAGCGTCTCAACTCGGGTATTTCAGGTACTTTAGGTAAATTTGCCTGTATTTGTACTGCAGTACAAAGTCTTACACATATACCTGCAGTACTAATACAGACAGAAGTGTTGACGAATTGCATACTCCCCAAAAAAGGTTATTTCATAACCTAGGTGGGATTCAACGAGGGCGTAACACACCGTTCTGGCAGTTTTGATTCCCAAATTTATTGAAGTTACGTCCAGAACAAATTTTACTTTTAAGTTGTTTGATACGTTCAGTAAATTTGAGATTATTGTCAATGTGAATACCTAGAAATTTAGATTGAGTCTCGTTCTTGGTCACTAAGTTATCACCAAGTGACATGTCATCAAGAGATCATCTGAATGATAAAATGTTTGTTTTAGTGATATTGAAGGATAGCAAATTAGCATCACACCACTCCTTGATTTTTTCATATCAGTTGTTTCTGCATTGTGTAGTTCATTCGAGTTTTTGTTGTTCCACAATATTGTCGTGTCATCAGCGAAAAGAGTGAAATTTCCAGAAATGCTCACATTTGCAATGTCATTAACATATAATAAGAATAAGATGGGTCCTGAAACTGATCTGTGTGGAACACCACACAAAATTTCCATTTATTTTTCTGAAAGACCCGTTGTTCTTACCATTTGATTCCTTCCTGAAACGTAAGGTTCAAACCATTTGAGCGTCATTTCTCTGATCTTATGATCAACGCAATCATACACATTTGAAAGATCACAAAAAAACGCAGCTGCTACATTACGAGAAGTAAAATTTGTAGTAAATATCATAAAGAAATGGAAAGATAGCATCGTGCGTATTTTTATTGCTTTGAAAACCAAACTGGCTTTCACTTAAGATATTGTGGTGTTGTAGGAAAACCGTCAGACATATTTTCACAAGTTTTGGCCAGAAAGCTATGCAGCATTTGGTAACATGAGGTCTAGTAACTCTCTAGATATAGATTTTTAGCATGACAGTGTTATGCAATTTACATCTAACACACTGAATATTCTATTATCAATAATGTTGAATTCTTTTGGAAATTTGTAAGCAGCAAATGGAAAAAAAACACTATACCTAAATTTAAATTTTCAATGTTTCAGATATTTCACAGAAGTGCTGAGCTCCTCCATTCTTTCTCCGGATTGCAATGAAATCCAGTTGAACAAGGACGGCACGTGGAGCGTGCAAGTCCAAGACAAGAAGCAAGTGAAAATTGATAAGCCAACGGTGATCGGTATCGACGATTCCATAGAGATCATCGGAGACGATGTCGGTACGTACACTGCTCCATCAACGTTACACGGTGGCCGGTATTGGCTACTGATATTCTTATTTTGTTTCTTTCTATTCAGAAATCGTGACCAACTCGGCTACTTCTTCGTTGGTTGCGGAAAAACCTAAAGAAGCCGAGAAGGAAGCGCCCAAACCAGAAGAAAAGAAGAAAGACATAGTGGACCTGACCATTTCCGACTCCGACGACGATGAACCTTTGGCTAAAAGAAGAGCCATCAATCCCAAGCCAGGTACGTTGAATAAACAAAAGTAAAATTCTGTTGTGCAACCGTTTCTTTGACAGTTGACATCTGTGGAAACTGTTGTGTTGGAAAGTATTTGACCCCGATTGCAAATTATTCAGATTGTAATTATTTAGAAGGTTTCTATTGACTGGCCCAAGTATTGGGCCCTGAGACCATTCTCGGTTAAAGTCGATAATTGTGAAAGTTTTTTGGGCTTTCAATTTTTTCAATAAAGTTGAATGACTTCAACTGAAGCTCCCGCTGAAGATAACAGAAGATTTTTTACGGTTCTTGTTCCCAAAGTCATATTTATATTGAGGTTTTAATGAACTTGGGGTAATTTTTTAAGAAGCTCTCCATACTGAATGTTCGGTTCTTAGCATGTTCAATTTAATTTTTTAATCTGTAGACTAATAAATTTGTTATATGGCTTTTCCACATTCAGAGTTTATGCGACTATATCTCTTGACAGGAAGCGTTTTGTGATCTATTCCAATTATCAGTTTTATTATTGTTGTATATTTTTTGTAATACCTAGCTAAGGAGTTGTTATGTTAAAAAATGACTCTGATCTGTCTAAGTGATGGTTATTACGACTTGGGGTACGTAAGCATACATTCGAATTCGAAAAACCATATACATTTTATAGAAGTGATACTGTTTTTAAGCTTTACTATACATTTGTGGCCTTCCTAGTTGTATTTGTACAAATGTTGATAATTATAATGAATTTTTTTAAAAGGATATTTTTATTGATCTCTTTGCCATCCCTTTTGAAAATTATGAGGTTACGAAAAAAAAATCACCAAAGATCAACCTCGAATTCTGCTGAGTAGCATTATTTTGTCAGATAGTCTCATTTAGTATCGAGTTGTTTCAAAAGTTTTATCCGTTTTTATGAGTCTACTTTAAACTGTAACATCTTCGGAGTTTTATCCCAACACCAAACTATTATTTTCACAACTTCGACACCTGTTTCAATCACCAAGTGATCATCTTCAAGAGGCGGATTAAACTGTTTAATATTCCTTTTGTAGAATGATTAAACTGTTTAATCTGCCTTTTGAAGAAGACTAAATCATTTAATCTTTCTTTTGAAGAGGATTAAACTGTTTGATCTTCCTTTTGAAGAAGATTAAACTGTTTAATCTGCCTCTTGAAGAAGACTAAATCATTTAATCTTTCTTTTGAAGAGGATTAAACTGTTTGATCTTCCTTTTGAAGAAGATTAATTTTTTTAATCTTCCCTTTGAAGAAAATGAAACTGTTTGATAATCCTCTTGAAGAACATTAAACTTTAATCTTCCTTTTAAAGATGATCACTTGATCACTTCAAGGTGATTAAACTGTTGAATCTTCCTTATGAAGAAGATTAAACGTTTAATCTCTCTTTTGACGAAGATTGAACTGTTTGATCTGCCTTTTGAGGAAGACTTCTTCCTTTTGTAGAAGATTAAACTATTTAATTTTCCTTTTGAAGATGATCACTTTAAGGTGCTGATTAAACTGTTTAATATCCCTTTTTCCTTTTGAAGAAGATTAAACTGTTGATCTGCCTTTTGAGGAAGACTAAACTGTTTAATCTTCCTTTTGAAGAAGATTAAACTGTTTAATCTTCTTTTTGAAGATGACCACTTGATCACTTCAAGGTGATGATTAAACTGTTCAATCTTCCCTGTGAAGAAGATTAAACTGTTTAATCTTCCTTTTGAAGAAGATTAAACTGTTTAATCTGCCTCTTGAAGAAGACTAAATCAATTAATCTTTCTTTTGAAGAGGATTAAACTGTTTGATCTTCCTTTTGAAGAAGATTAATTTTTTTAATCTTCCCTTTGAAGAAAATGAAACTGTTTGATCATCCTCTTGAAGAACATTAAACTTTAATCTTCCTTTCAAAGATGATCACTTGATCACTTCAAGCTGATTAAACTGTTTAATCTTCCTTTTGAAGAAGATTAAACCGTTTAATCTCTCTTTTGAGGAAGATTGTCTGAATGTTTTCACTTTTGTAAATTGATCTAAATTAATATTTCTGCTTTCTCAGTATCTTTCATTACACCTGTTTTAAACATGTAAATAGATGAATGTATTATTGTTAGTTCAATTGAATAAATGGTTTCGAAACAACTTGGCATTTTTTTTCTTTGTGTTTTGTGTCAACTGTCATATTGTGTCAAATATCAAGGAGAAATTGATGATGGAGGTAGCCTATTGCTTTTGTTTATGCTACATTATTTTTATTCACACCCTCATCTAGCTGCAATGAAAAGTTGTACTAGGTTACAAATCAGTTTTCTTTATGTGCTATCATCGTTATTATTATTATTTTCAACTGTTTGTAGACTCTACCAGCATCTCGTCAAGCAGCAACCAGTCAAGAATAACCACAACGCCGGGCCCTTCTTCGGTTTCCAGCTCAGGCTACCCTGCCAGCCCTTCAGTCATCAACCTGGACAGTCCTTCACCGCCGAGATCGCCACAACCCCAAGCGGGCGTCCAGCAACAGCCGCTCCAGCAGCAGCAACCGCCTCCAGCCCAACCCGCCTCTTGCATGCTTGCCAGCCAGACGAACGGAAACGCCAAGCCTACCGCGACGGCGGTGCCCTTCATGAGCCCCAACAGTATGCCGTTCTTAGATCTGGACGGCGAGGCGGCCGGTGCCGCGACTTTGAATTATCCGACGAGCTATTGACAAGGGGGGGATTTTGTGCGCGAGGGGCGTTATTGTTTTATTTGAGAGTGTACAGTTAGGATTGATCAGATTTTTCGAAATGAATTCGGTCCTAAGTGGAAGTGCACTGCCAAGGATATTTTTACTTTGTGCCTGTATATTCTAATATTCATCCATGGAAGTTTGCAGATTGGAAAGCTGACTTTTTTGTAACTATTTGATACGTTTTCAATATTTTAGAATTGAGTTGTTACCACTGATAGTTTTTCATTGATAGTGAACTTTTCTCAGAGAAAACTTTATTTATATAACTCAGGTGTGACGACAGTACGGGGAACAAAAACTTAATTGGCCTGAGGACTTGACAAGGCGCATATGGAAGTTTTCTTATTACATACTACAGGCTTGTATGGTCCTAAAAGTTTTATATTCATCGCAAGAGATTAAATTTGATCTTGTGAAGAGTGAAAGGTATGGCGCCCAATGAGGGGCGGTTTGAGGATAATTGGTAATTCAGGCTATATAATTTCAACAATTCAAACACGTAGAGATTTGTTGTTCTTGGCTTGTCTCTTGGAGTTTGGTCAGTTACTAATCTTTAGCAACTGTCAAAACCGGCCTCATAGTTTTTTATTGGTGAACAGAACATTTTTGGAGTCCATTTATATTGTTTGGTATGTTTCGGAAATGAAATTTCAAACAACTGACGTTTCAAAGAGTTGATTTCAATATTGGATGGAGCCTGATTTCCTATTCCAGTTGGTTTTACCTGTAAACCAAAAATATTGTTAGTAATATAGTTATTTATATCAAAAATTGTCAATAAAAGATGGAAATAGATATTTTCCTAAAAGAACGAACCCTGTGCATTTATTTAGGCGCTTGACAATTTCAATACACACTACTCGTCTTGTTGACAATCTGTTGAATTATACTTTTGTATATATTCGGAATGAAAGTCTCAGAATTACGAAGATGGTAATGGTTGGGGAAGTTTATTCTATTGAAAATATAAGAAAGAATTGTTATGAAATGTGAGTATAGATGTCGATATGATTTTATGGTATACTTCAGGTGCAGAACCTTCACATTTCTTGAAACCTTTCTTAATTTGATAATCAGCAATAAACAACCCAAATTTCATTGAAGTTGTTTATTTTTCGTTTTAGGCAGCGTGGCATTGCGGCATTGATAGATGATGTTGCTAGCATTGAACTTGCCCCTCTTCAAAAATATTAGACAATTAGGTCGGTCGGTAGCCAGGCGGTTCGACGTGGGTGCTTTGTTCCACACTTTGTTGGTCGGTGGTTCAAGCCATAGTCTGAACGATCGATTTTCACTTGCTATCGTCCAACCCGTGTTAGGAATCACACGTTAAAAGGTAAGACCTCGTTAATCCTTAGCTCGCACAAGTTTCGACTTGTGAGGGTTGTCGTTCGTAGGGGTGCGACAGCTGCTTAACGGAAAAACATATATTTTTTAAACCTTGCCTCCGAAATTTTAAAAAGATAGATTATTTCCAAACGAAACTTCTGTTTACAACTTACTTGAAAATATGCAAATGCTATTCTCTTTCTGACATGCTTTGTTTCGCAGCACCGTTATGTCCATGGTACATCAAATTTAACTCCCAACCAGGGTTAGTTTATAGGAGAGGTTTGACAAAGTGCTACCTGAGGTAAGGGGAATTCCGTGACGCCATTGGAGGGGAATTTTATGTGAATAGTATTTTGAATAGTTTATTCTACGGTCATCAGTCACTATTTCCTTGTGACTTTTTTATGTTTTGTGCGTTTATCATAATGTTTAATGAAAGTTCAACATCTGATTTCTGTAATAAATTGTAAAACCATGTGATTCACCCTGGCAGTAAAACAGTGAGTTTCCTTTTATTTCCTAAAAATTTTCTAGTGAAGCAAACTTGGACCAATTACTGTGGTCATCGTACTGATTGGATCTCAATCATAATAGCTACTGAATATGCTCTATTCACTTTGAAAACTATGTTTAGATATTCTGAAAAAATATTCTTAGAAATCAGATGATTTTCCAAAGTATCGTATCGCATTTCCTAATGGTGAACTGTAATAATTTTCCAAACATAACGAAACATGTACACTTTGTTTTTATATTGCCTCTATTCACATTCTATATCAATTCAAATTTAGCGCCATCATTCCTTCCAATTACGTCAAAAACATGGCAGCCAACCTTGACAATCTGTTATCTCTCCTATAAGTAAACCTTGTCATAACTAAATGCTTAGTTTGGATTTGCGACATTATACACCCTCAAAGTAATAAAATATCTGAAGGTGTCTTGCTTATTTGAACTAGTCAGTTTTAAATGAAATGAGATAGTGATATGGTCTATTGCGCCAGCAAGGAAGCAAAGACCAATAAAACAAGAAGAAGAGACTGACAAGTGTATCTTGAATAAACTACCAATGTACCATTGTTTCTACGGCTTCAATGAATAACACGTTGATACTGATAAATAATGGGAAATGTTCCTCAATTTGGGTTATTGCAAATGCAAGTTTGAACAAAATAAAGATCAATTGATTAGTTTTCCAAATTCACTTCGAAAAGTATTCAAATTGATGTTTCAAATGTTGGGTTTTAATTTTTAAAGGGATTTGTTTCTAATTCACATATTGGCAACAGCGCCTATATCAAGTTGAAATAATTTATACGTACCTAGATATTCTACTTTAAAAAAGAAAAATTATCTTTATAAATCAACAATTAAGGCAAAATATAAATTATAGTTCAATACCACCTCCACAAGCCACATAAACAGCAGTTGTTTTGTTATTTATTTATATAGAGGAAAATAGGTTAGGTGCACAAAATGTCATATGTCACAGAATGTCTCGGAACATGTATGTTTGTCTCATACAGGTAACAGATTCATTGTCCTTTATTAGCTATAACCGATGTTGCCAAATGGTGAAATAGAAAGTTGAGTGCATTATTTCATTCCTCTTTTTTAAGTATTTCAATAATGCGTTGTTTTAGAGCTCTTTCATGAAAACTACTTGATTCTCGTCAGGAGGAACATTACCCATTGTGTTTGAAAGCAAAGTTGAACTGTTGGTTTTGGGTTTTACCATGGGGTCTCCTTCTGTTATAATCTCCAAACGTTTCAACTGCAACTGTGGCAGTCATCTTCAGTGGCGTAGTAGAAGTGCTTTTCTTGACGTATCAACTGATACCTAACCTATTTATGTAACGTTTTGGATTCAGTAGTATAATCGTATACACATGATTATGTTAGTGGGTTCCGCTAAAACTTAGAATTACTCATACATTTTATTTCAGATTATCCATGATGTTTAATCTTGGTTAAATGTGACTCTACTTGGGCTCTAGTTTTTAAGAAAAATAAATATTTTCAACCAATTAAGGCAATAATCTCGGCAACGATGAAATGTCACACTGATTGGTAGGATATTGGATATTCCAATGGATGTACTGTTTGTCGAAGTAATATTTCAACAAATTGTTTAGATTAGTCAGTTAATGAAAAAATTAATAATCTAATATTAGTATTAATATTGCAACCAATTGAAATTCAAAATAAAATTATATAAAATGAATATTCCAGTTAAACTACAAAGAGCCTTTAGTCAACTTGTATGAACTATCATTCCATAGTCCAGCTGTCAGGTTGACATCTATGACTTGCGCAATCAAGTAAATTCAAAGTAAAGAAAATGTTTGTTTCGGCGGGTTCTGTCCTGAAGTTACATGCTTTGTCGGATAATCTTCACAGTTTGGAACCAGTAGCCGTGTATAAACCGAGAAAAAGTTACGGTTCGGCTTGCAAATTAACCAACGTTTCCTGGTGTCACGACAACAGCTACATCGCCCTTCTTCAAGACGATGGCCACCCCGAAATCGTGTCTTGCAAAGACAGAACTAACCTCAACTTAGTTCATACGATACAATGCTTGAAGAGAGTAACGGCGCTGAGTTTCAAACAGAACACGAAGAGGATTTTAGCATTGGGAAATCACGAGGGGGAGGTTGTACTCTACGATACGAAAAACAGAGGTATCGCGAGGAAAATTGTGGGTCTTTCGAGCCCTGTCAGGATGCTGGAGTTCAACAGCAGGGACGAACAGATTTTTGTAGGTGGCGATGCAGGATCCGGTGTATTCTCAGGTAGATTCTGTTGATTGGAATGTTGAAAGTTTCTTTTTCTTATTAAACATTTCTTTCTACCAAACCTCAGTAGGGTTATAATTATAGATGATATTTCTCCATGATTTACCCCTACAACTGTGAATTTACTTTCGTAAGTCTTGACCAGTGTCTACAGACAGCTAACTTTTCTATTGTACACTTGGCAGAACAAACGTCAGTAGTTTATAAATTCATTAAATTAATGGAACAGTAGAACACTCATCTGTATTTATTATGTTATTGCAAGAATACAGTTCAACCAATTCATAATTGATAGCAACTGAATATTAGCGCTGAAAAGTAAATGTACCTATGTGCAACATATGTCTACCACTAATAATACATCCTCCACGAAACGGAAATTAAGCGTTATTGTGTTATTTATGTTACTGGTTAACTTGTTGATCATTATTTCTAATGTACTTACTTGCTATTTTGCTATATTGGTTCTGGGATTTTATTTTCAATTAAAACAATTGAAACATTTACAACTTTTCCCTGGACTTTTTGCTCCCATAAATCTGTTCAAATTAAATATACAGTATATTAATTATTTAGTATTTAATGTTGTGGAATTGGCCGCGGTGGTAGTGCGCCCGACTCACGATCGGAAGACCGTGGGTTCGATTCCTGCCTCGACCAGATATTTTTCTCGAGATAATTTATCTGGTTGAAGCTGAGATGATTCTGCAACCGTATTAGGAACCACACGTTAAAAGGTAAGACCTCGTTAGCCCTCAGCTAGCACAAGTTTCTCAACTTCTGAGAGTTGTATGGGGCGACAGCTGATTAACGGAAAAACAGATTTCAAACAGACAGTATATTCATCATAAATAGTGAAATCATTCAACTGATTCTAAGTACAAATTTCGATTACTTTACTAGTTTTGGACCTTATGGAGAGCTGTGCATAGACACATTTGTTACACAGTCATCAGACTGGTTTCCTGAACAATATTCTAGTACATGTAAATTACTATTAGAGTAGTACGAACCTAGGTGTTCCTCAAACCGTCATCCTCCAGAATGGAACCAATTCTAACCTGTGTGAGTTGTTGGACAATATTAACGTCTATTTTTTTTCTCGTTACAGATCACGACGGAATGAACAACTTCACAAAAGAAATCGCTCTTCCCGACTCGTATACGGCTTCAAAATTCCACCCACTCTCGCCCAGCATCCTCGCCCTTGGCGACCAATCGGGTCGCGTGTTTCTCCGCGATACGGAAAAGGACGAAGTCATCAGCAGTACGCAACGTCACACGTCAACTGTCACCGGCATCGCCTTTACCGGCGATCACAAAATCATGGTCACCACAGGAATGGACAACAAGATTTGCGTGAACGACTGCCAAACGTCAGACTGCGTCTTCAGGATGAACATCCACCAAGCCATCACCTCGAGCGATGTCAGCCCGGACGACAGGTACAAAATACCTCAGTGGAAGTAAAATTATAGAGTTGCTTCAAACTTTGTAGACAACTATAATATTCATCTCTGTCACTTCACTTTCAGGATATAGACAACGGAAATGAGGAAGTTGTTGACATGTGTATGACATGTGCATAGTGCACACAAAAAAGGGAATATTCACAAACTATCACCTTACAAATCACTAAAATCATGTCAGATTAGCTCTAAATCACGAAAAAACTGAAAAATTCGATAGAATTCAATAGTAAAATAGGTGTAGAGTTCTGTAGAGGTTGAACATCTACATAATACTTTCTCTATGTGTTTCGTCCCATTAGTCAGTGGGGATAACATAATCATCAACAATTCTTCGAGAATATTCAGTCAAGTACCTAAATTCAATGAATGGGATTTTATCAATGTGCCAGTCCTCAATTCAATAAAATTACACCAGTGATACCGTTGACAAACGTGTGAAAAATTCCTCACAATTGATAACTGACATAATTGCTAGTTTATGAAACGCGGATGTGTCGATGATGATGAACACAGAACTATATGGAATGTGATTTCTAGTTATAAGATAATGGCTTACGAGTTCTATGGATCTCTTTTTGTAATCTTCTCTTCAACAGGTACATTGCTGCAGGCCTAGAGGACGGTTGTGTCTACATCTACGACATCAGGGAACCTTTGAAGCCTTTGGTGTGCACGAACGCTCACGATTGCGCAGTGAACAAGATCGCTTTCGAGCGAGCGGTTCCATGCGTAGAGATCGTGCGCGAAAAACCATCCGTCACGACATTGAACGAGAGCGAGTTCGGGGAAAACCACTCGGAAGTTTCAAACTCGATGGGCGACATAGACAGGCATGACGCCGAAGACGAGAAGTTTAAGAAAGAACTGCTGCGGATGGTGAAGAGCCATATGAGTTACTTGGAGACGCAGTTGGCCGAGCATTGCGCCAAATTCCAGAGTTTCATCGCGAACGAGTTCGACGCGATCCACAACGCAATGGCGCGCTGGGACGTGTTCAACGTGGGAGACACAGCGGAGATTGCGCAGGCTATAGATTCAACAGACTCGAGGAGTTCCAGAAGCGGAGCTTCCGTGGGGAAGTCTCGATCGCAGATGAGGCAATAAAGAGTATCAAATGGAATTTGAGTTTTTCTTTTTGCACAGGAGGAAATTTCATATACGAATTCAAGGTTTTGTGTTGAATTTGAACGATTTAGGTGATACTGTGTTGGAAAATCCGATTTCGGAAAGTTTATTCCACAAGGAAGACATTTTTCTAAAGTGTATTCAGGGGCAAAGTCAGTCATTGATTTATTTGAAATATGTTTGAATACTATTGATTGACTAAAAATCAATGTTAAACTAACTTGGCTAAAGTTATTAACATTACTTCGGAGCAGAGCTGTTGTAAGTACCGAACGAAAGCACTTGAGTAATCGTAACAAAAAATTCAAAATGTTTTGATATAATTTAATAGCACTTATAATAGTTGAATACCAGTATCAACTACGCTCCATTTATTCAAAGTATTTTAGTATATAAGTAGTACCGAATAATATTAGGAATACTCCTGAAATACACATCATTTACAAACTGGAAAATTCACGGAGTTGAAGTTTTCAAACGCTGAAATTTCGAATTTGAGAAGGAACGGACATCAAACATAATCAAGGATAACGTTAGAGCGAAGAACACTACCGGAACTAACTGTAAAGTTTGTTACGAATCGTTAATAGTGGACGATAATAGTTCTCCCGAGAACATGCTTTCAAGAAACATCTGGTATATATAGGTACAGCTCTAAACCCTATCATGATACGGAAGCTGGAGTATACTGTGCGAGACAGAAACTCAGATTACAGGTATCCGTTCGATCGCTACTCGTCTATCTTCCAGGTGAAAGTGTATGTAATTTTACAATCCGAAAAAGATTGGGGGCATCAACGAAATGAGCGGGTATTATAAACATCAATTCAAGAGTGACATTGAGATTGGTCCTGAAATGCCATGAAGAAATGCACATCTGGACAAGATTATATTACCTGTAGACCAGGACCAACGCACTTAGGAATCACAGGCAAAAAAAAGCCGATAAGTTTGCTAGAAACGAACCATCAAATGCCTATATAGGCCCTGAAATACCTATGGGGGTACCAAAGTCTTCGAGAGCCCTGAATGAACCAAAATCTATGGTATGTGACCAGGTCAGGACATGGGTCAATGAGACCCATAGAGTACTGGGAGAATACCCTTGGGAACAAACATGTGGGAAAACTTTCATGAAGAGAACTGAATAAATTCTTCAATGATTAGTTCAGAAAAATTATAGAGCTGTCTTTACAGAGTACACCACGGGATCAATCAAAATCCAATGATATCGGGAGAAGCTCACTATTTCTAATACTAAACATACACACTCCGCGTCCCGAATAATACTAAATCACGATTTCAATTAATATATTCAACAACTACTTCCTCAGCTAACACCACGCTGGATATTGAATTATATCGGACATACATTTATGCAAGATACCTCACAGATACATACAGAGATACATACGCCTAAGAAAATAAACCTATAGTTTAGGTAGTTGGAAGAGATGAATATTTTGAGATTTTATTTCGAAATGTTTATTTTCTTATACGTATTATCACATTTTGTCTAACTTCTAAATCTCTCAGTACTAATAAATGGTTTCTCATCAAAATGGTTGAGGATCATCATCTACCCTCACTTTCTCATACTCAAACAATAAATAATCTTGTTTGTTATCGACCTGGTAATTACCACACATTTAATTACAATCAGTTTATGGTTTCTCGTGGGATTGAATATAAATGAAAAACTATGAAAACAGGAATAAAAATTTTAATCACATCTTCAAGGATACACTCGATATTTTAGATATGCCGCCAGAGTGAGTTTGTATTTTTTATGTAAAAGTAATGTGTACAAAAATGAGAACGAAAAATTTTGTGATAGGCATGGCATTATTTATTGTACTGCAGATGAAAGTAAGTACTTTCTAGCCTTTTTAAGATATGATCTCCATTGTAGAAGGGGTGTATATGTCCAAGCCAAGTCTGTGAAAAGGATTGTTCTGATTATAGAATTCCTTCGTCCTATAATTATAAGAGTCCTCTGTCTTCGCTACTCTAGAACCTTGAATTCACACTGTCTATGGTTCGCTACTTTATGCAAGGTAGAGTGGACATTGTTAGAGGCCTGATCGATAAACACTAAGGTGTTGAGGACCCGAGAGACCCAGATGAATCCTTCAATATCCAACTTTAGCCCACTTGAAAGCAAATTTTTCAATGTTGTAGGAGAGCCGCAGTGACGAAGTGGACTCTATATCTTTGAGTGGGCTTCATGCTGAAAGGGGTTCCAACTCAGTGTCAGGGAGGGGAATGTTCCTCCTGACGAAAATCAAATAGTTTTCATAAAAGAGCTCTAAAACAACGCATTTTAAACTTATCATTTCAACCTTCTTCTTTAAAATTTTAAGATATTATCTCCATTGTAGAAGGGGTGTATATGTCCAAGCCAAGTCTGTGAAAAGGATTGATCTGATTATAGAATTCCTTCGTCCTATAAGAGTCCTATGTCTTCGCTACTCTATCCAAATTTAGCCCACTTGAAAGTAAATTTTTCAATGTTGTAGGAGAGCCGCAGTGACGAAGTGGACTCTATATCTTTGAGTGGGCTTTATGCTGAAAGGGGTTCCAACTCAGTGACAGAGAGGGGAATGTTCCTCCTGACGAAAATCAAATAGTTTTCATAAAAGAGCTCTAAAACAACGCATTTAAAACTATCATTTCAACCTTTTCCTTTGAAAAATAATTTAAATACTTGAAAAAGAGGAATGAAATAATGCATTCAACACTCAAAGGGATTCGTTTCTATTTCACCATTTGGCAACATCGGTTATAACTAATAAAGGACAATTAATCTGTTACCTGTATGAGACAAACAAAGATGGCGTATTTCAGAGGCGTGCTGTTCTGTTTACTTATGTTCCGAGTTCCGAGACATTCTGTGACATATATGACATTTTGTACACCTAACCTATTTTCCTCTATATAAATAAATAACAAAACAACTGTTGTTTATGTGGCTTGTGGAAGTGGTATTGCAAACTTCTACGGAGATTCATCATATTTATTTTTTTAGTCTCATTTCCACCGAGTTCTCCTCAGTTCATCTCTGAAGACACAACTACTAATGATCATTCAGCATTCCCAATTCTTCTACAATTCCTGCATTACATTGCACGAATATAAATTCTGATGTTTTATTTTTGTAATTTTCAGGCATCTGAAGAACTCCAGCAAGAAGAATATTTTGTAAGAACCTACGTTGCTGACCGTATAGCACTGACACATATAGATACCAAGGTTGTGAATACTTTGAGTAAATCTACCCGTGCATCATTTTGTGTTTTTCTACCGGAAAGAGCCATATTGACTGGGTTTCACATGGATATTGATGGCCAACGCTACGATTCTCGTGTTGTCGAACAGATATTAGTAAGAATTGAAATTGCACCATTAGCACGAGGGTGTTTATTGGACGTTTAGTGTACGTCATTTTGGTTACGCGAACGTTCGATAGATATCTGTAATAGGGCTTAAAGCGTATAAAATGCACGCTAGTCAATGGTACTCTTGAACTGTACATCAAAAATGTTGTATAGTAACATTCTGAAAAAAAAATGTTTATTGCCTACTGAAGGATGATGGTAATGTAATAGTGGTATTCGGCAGGATCAGGGAGTTGAAGAAATCTGGTATAAGTATTGGCTATTGTCATAAGGAAACGTATATAGTCACATACATTTCAAAAATTCATTGTTACATATATCAATTGTAATAATCTTTCACAAAAATGGACAAAAAAGGACACTTCATAATGATTAGTAACTCAAAAAGTTGTTGCTTAGTGAATGAGGATTATAATTATTCATCAGAAAATGTGAGCATGCACAACTTTCTCTAAAACCCAAAACTAGCAAAGAAACAACAAAATTATAGGCAGATTTGGTAAAGCAATCAACAAATTTATGAGTTTACAACTCGATAGAGATAAAACATATTTTGTATGCTTGAAAAGTTTATTCAGTTGCTAATAATAATCACAAATTAATATTAAAGGATCATTATAATAATGACGTGATATATAAAATCGATGAAATCCATGCATTTTAAACAATTATTAGAATATACTGGAGTGAGTTTTAGAAACATTTTGAAAACATGATATTTATCGTTTCCAGATTCTGGAAACTAACACATAAAACTGCCGATCACTTAGTGTGTAAAAAATGGGTTTCAGTACCTTTGAATCTTCTATGCGTCCCTCAGAGTGATATTACTCTGAGATGCGTCCGATTGAACGTAATCCATGGCATAGAACAGTAAATTCTATTTCTTCTGTGGTGGGCGTTCCCAAAACTATGTCTTCCATGTCGTTAATCAGCTTCAACTAAGATGCATAGAAATATCATGGTGTAATCCCTTATTCCTCTCCGTATGTAAAATAAGTTGACGAAAACACTCGATCTACGGCACTCTTGATTCTTTGTAAAACGTACTTTGGTATTCAAACTCACAGAGGCGCTAACAGCACACAAATGTTTACATTTGAAAACGATTCATGTTGTTGGGTCAGTTTCATTTCTTGAGTCGGGAGATTTCCATAAAATAAAAGCGAATCGGTACAAACATCAACCAATCGAAATTGCAGCCTGAGAAGATGACAGCTTTTCTGTCGAGAGAAACACTCAAGTTTTTCCGCGCTGAGGAGCGGGAATTCTGATGATTCTGTGGCGTTACCATCAGCAACTTATCAGCAAGCACACATACATGTCACACATGTATAATGGATCACGTTTTTGACAACTGTCAAAACTGTTACGTTCACAAAACACGAGTTTTTTAGCTTTACTAACAATAAAACAACGTAAAGCGAATGAATTTCAATACATTGAAAGATGTAGTTGTGGTAAGAGGATCATCATGAAAAATGAGAAATAAAACTTCCGTTGTATTTTTACCACTTGTGTTCGTAACTAACGTAAGGTTGTAATCGTTTGAATATGTCCTTGTAGGATGAAACTGCAATAACGTTAATTACAAATACAAGTGGTAAAAAACATAGGAAAATCACGTTGGTGTGTCTTCTTAAGCCTTCAACTCAACTTCAAAAGTTAACACCTTCAGAACATACGTTTATATGTTTCATATGTCTTGGAATGATCCCAAAAATAATCACCTTCCATACTAACCAGTTATTACGAAACATCTTATATATCGAATCATTTTGTGGGGAACACTGGTTAACTTTGAGCCAAAGCTATTTTCCGGGTTTGTTGACCGTGATCAGCAGGTTTATATGCCTGACGTTTCGTCTACGATTGCAGTAGACCAAAGTACCAGTAGTAGCAGTAGCAGTACCAAAGGATGAAGTGCTCGGGTCAATCTCACAGCAGATACTACAATCACCGTGACAATGTCTCTTGTGTTCGTGTAGATACATGGGTACTTACATTTCTTTTCGCCTGAGGTATCCCAAATGTTTGATTGAAATCAGAAATACTATCTAAGACTATATAGGGAGTTGATTGGAATCACAAAAATAATTTCAATCGAAAAGAAGGAGGAACTAACATCAACAGAGTTTGAGTACCTGCACTGAATTACATAGAAACGAAGGCACAGTGGAACAAACGCAGAGATTCAAACGTTGAATGTAGAGAACAACCCAAGCACTTCGTCCGTTGTAATTATCGCCTCTGATAATACCCGCTGCGGTATTAGGCGAAACGTCAAGCAGTGAAGCTACAGACTAAAACAACCGGAAAATAGCTGGGTCACAGTTTACACTCGTTGATTGATTATTTCCAGGGAGGTGAATTTTCTGAAGGGGTTGTGTATGAATCTGTAAGCGTGAGGAACTCATTTAAATTCGGTATCGACGTTTCGATGGAACCGCACTCTGAGATTCATTTCCATTTGGAGTACGAAGAGCTCTTGCAAAAAGCGAGTGGCCGATACCAAATCGTCTCGAACATCATTCCTGGGTCTTTGGTGGAAAATTTGAAGATTGAGGTAAGTACAAAATAATGAATGTGCACCAGAAATGGATGAATATATCATCATTTGATATACTGTGTGAAGTATTCAGTCTTACGCTTGTATACCTCGCTTCCGATGGATCACCACTATGAAATTGTTAATTCGGTATCATATTTTATTGGGAACTGGTTGAAAGTCGAAAATGAAACTTCATTGCTTTTAAGTCACGATTTACCGACCACAAAAGAGTAAAGGCTGAATAGATTCACTGTATAGAAGGAAATAAATACTGTTTTCGGCAACCGTCCGCTTGGAAGTATAGTCTATGAAAAGCAAATCCGAACAGCTAAATAAAATAATAATGTACTGGTTTGTTGAATTAACAAGTTATTACCATTCAAAACCTCCCACATAAATTAATGATTGGACCTCGTATGAATTTCCACGCCGCCCATGCCATACAAAGAAACTGCCGTTGTTCGGAAACTATTTAGTTTTTATGTCATTCGAATTGAAATCGTACATACTACATTAACTTTCCGGACGCTTTTTCTTTGAGAAAGTATCATTTTTTCCATCCTAGTTCCGGAAGAACCACATCGTGGTTGTCATTGTAAATATGAACATCTTGGTAGGTATGGTTTCAATAATTGCAGTTCATCATTACCATTATTAGTTGACATTTAGATTTTTGAAAGTTTGTTAGGTACCTACATTATTATTCTATAAACGGTGTACGCATTTATACTTGAATTTACTGGCAGTTGTATCGTTGCTAGGAAACCAAATCGATAGTGCTGTCAGTCAAAACAAAACGTGCACTGAAAACATTATACATCTCATTCCTAATCAATCCAACACTGAAATGCATCTGATTCCGGAAATCCAAGAACTGATTACGGAGTATAAAAAAAGAGAAGAAACCATAGAAGCCAAACTGAAAGAGTCCCGTGACCATCTGTCAACATTAATCGACGAAAAACTACCAGAAACCAAAGAACACGTGACTTTTGAAGAAGCAAAGGAAAGAAACAGGACGTTGATTAATGATTTAGATATCGTCAAGGGGAATTTACGCTCCAAGGCTATTTTTAGCCCATCGGAAATGCAGTGGAAAAAAATTTGTGAAAACTATAGAGCGGAACCGTCACTAGAGGTCAACAAATGGAGGTGTCACTTGCCAGTATTCGTTTGAAATAAAAAAATCCGGTATTGTTAGTCACTATGACCTTTATTGTAAACCTATAGATTGTATACCTTTTTATCAATAAAACTGGTTATTTATTGAGTTTTCATCATTATACAGTGTGTTCTTACCATATGAAAATTACAAGGACCTTCAAAAGATATCAAATGGTGATATCACAAACACTGGAAACCCAGTGTAGTTTATGATCTTCACAAACTTTATTTTCACAAATATATGTTTCGCTATCACAGTATCTTTTTCATAGTGAATGTTATGTTCATAGGCAAGTAAATGATACGAACTTGTGGTCGTCTAGATTTAGAATGTCCTTTATTCAAAAATCGGAAACGGTTCTCCCGTCACGTCACTTATGACACAACACATTGTTGCCAACATGAGTGCGTTCCGAAATACCTACCTAAACATACATCATAGTGAATAACATACTAAAAACTAATCATTTACGCTATCTTACGTCAAAGTGACCTTCACAAAAATAAAGGTGAGAATTGGGCAATATTACCGTTGAATCTCGTGTTACAAGTTCAAGCCTCTTATTTTGTGTTGTTTTTTTTGTACGGGACAAACACTAATAAGTTGTTCGGAGTTTCAATTGATGTATTAGTACACTGAGGGATTGCAAACCACCAATACACTTTTGAATTCATATTTATTAATAGGTTATCAGCAAATTTATGGAAAAACTTTTAGTATTTTTGATCACTGTTGAAGCCAATTCACTTACCACCTTTCAGGTGTTTTTCAACGAAACCGTCCCAGTCATCTTGAAAGATACGTTCTTTCGTTCTGGATCAGATTTTCTGCTCAGATCAGATGTAGACCTTGGACTCGAGATCATCAACACTCCTACGGGATTTGGCGTGCTCATCAATCCAGATATTTTCACACAGCTCGAACTCGTTTGTTCTGGTCTAAGAAGTAGGTCCTTCAAAGGACTCGTGGGGCAGTTTGTCGTGGAATACAACTTAGAAAACAAACACGAGGGAGGTCTGGTAAGTTGTATTCATTTGTTTACAATAGTTTTGAAATGAATCAATTTTTTTCATTATTTTTTTCCACTATAAATGCTATATATTACGCCTTATTAACGGTCGATAATCAGTATTCACAAATTTTCATCACTTCTCTACCAATATGTTGATTATTAATATAACGACTGCAATTTTTACCCATTTAATTGATGGACCGCAGCTGTCATCGAAAAATATATATATAGTTTTTTTTATTCTTCAGCTAACATGGCAGCTGAAGAAAAATAAAAATATATAAACTATATATTGGTGTTTAACTCAACAACATAGAATATCAGAAAGAAACAAGCAGGGAAATGATGAGAGTAAATTTTTCCGATGCGCGTGCACACCATTACGAAAAACCGAAATCCTGAAGATAGCTTCTTCTTCTTTAATTAATATGGCCGTTGTTTCTCAATCGAGCGCATTTGACCATACTCTTCCTGTCCACAGTGAACAAAAGCATCGTTCAGGGGCGCAGCTATCTTTCTTGAGGCAATGTTGCAGACCTAAGTTTTCTCATTCACTTTTTCTTTCTTTGGCGACCTTGTTTCATCTTTGGCGACAAACCACCATGCGTATGTTACCATGGGTTAACCTTGCCTATCCCAGGGCGTCCCTCCCACTCCTGCTGCTTTCTTCCTCACGGCGGACGCTTGAGTTTGGATTTTAGTGCTCTACGAAGACACCACGAGATATTCACGCGTCTTTCCTTCAGCCGTCTGGATTGTCACTATGAAAATATGGAAAATTTTGATGAAAAATTGATATGTGTTATCCAGGGTGTTGATATCGATTGTCATATTTTGATGATATAAAAATCAATTATGGTGCAATTACCAAGTGAATCGAAGCATATTTTTCTTTGGACAAATTGAAGCCAATGATTATTCCATTCATTAAAGACTCAAGAACGTAGTAACATATTTACTTTGCCCTTTATTTCAGACTCTCTTCGATGGAAATACTTTCATCACTTTTTTCTCACCACAAGCTCTAGAACCAATACCCAAGCATATAGTGTTCGTTCTGGACACCAGTGGAAGCATGTGGGGAAGAAGAATAGATCAACTGAGGAATGCCATGAAACAAATACTACCGCAGTTGTTGGAAGACGATGTATTCGACATCGTAGAGTTTGATTCTTCGGTGTACCTTTCTCAGTTTGATTCACTTGGCAATAATTTACGAAAAAAAGTTATCGACCATAACACACCTCTTGAACACTATGGTAGTTTGGATGATATTTATCTAAGGGTAAGGCACTTTGAGTTTTTCAAAACATTTCGGTAAAGAAAAGAAGAAAACATTAACAAATTTCAATTGGGAGTTTTTCTGAAACAATTGTTCTCCTAGATTTTCCAAACCTCCACTATTCTGATACAAAGGTTAGGAGTTCAGTCAGAAACTGGCACTGTCTTGGAAGCAAGTGGTGATAATGAAATAGTTGTTGAAAATAGTGAAACTAGTATGATTTCAATTCTCCAAATGAAATAACAGAATTGATAAATTCAAAACGACGGAACACAAACACTTATTTTTTCTATCACATTCTTCCTACTGCTGTAGGTAACATCATGTATACTAATGATATGAAAATAAATAACAAAACTCTACCAACAATACTTATTTTGCCATTGCAATATTGCATTTCGATTTTTTGAGTCAGAAATCTGATCACTGAACAAATTACAGAATTTTAACAATAACAAATAATTCGAACACGTCAAAAAGCAAAGCTTTTTTATCATACAGTAATTGTTCAACAGAAGTTGTACGCAAGCTGCCGCTTCTGAAAAGTGCCGAAATTTTAGGAAGAAGACAGAATAATGAGAACTCAATAAAAGTTTTAACTTTCCGTATTCGATATATTTTATGAAAGATGAGAATTGAAACTTCTTATGTTATTATACCATTTTTATTTGTAACTAGCGTTATTACAGTTTCGTCCTACTGAGGCATTTTCAAACGAATTGTATTCGCCGGGGTTTCATCAAGTACTAACACAATTTTAGGATTTTGTGACTTGACGCCGGGTTCTCAGTTCGCCTACTACTCATTTAATGACATACTTTGAGGGTTTTGTGACTCGACGCTGGGGTTAGGTTAGGTCAAAAGTGAGTGGATCTATTCGACCCTCCACCGCAACCCGTGAGGGTTTACTGTGACTCACACCTATTCAAACTCGGCCAAATAAACCCAGCTTCTTAACGAAGCCGATTAGTTTGTATGGTGAGTGGTCTTTCTGGTCATATGGCCAACCTGATGACATATGGAAAACCTGATTCGGTCCCCAGCGGGGCAGGCACAAAGTATGTGCTCTGGTGTTTCATCATTTTCCGAACAGATGCGACATACACTGTCTTCCGACAGTCCGAGTCTCTGCATATGATGATTCAAATAACAGTGACCTATGAGAAGGAGTGTTAGACATTGTAGTTCAGTAATTGTAGTCCAACAACTGTTTTGTATCAAGTTTCGAAGGGTCAATAAACGCCCTGGAGTAAGCCAATCCTAGAAGATTCTGCCAGAAGTCCAGACATCTTCTTGGCATCCAGGTGTTCAGTGTTTGTTTGGCAAAGCCTAAAGCCCTGTTTTCCTAGCGACGCATTTTTCGCGTCGCGTGCGACGTGTTACGCCTAGCTTAATACTAATAATACGTCAACTACGAACTGCCTTATAAAGTATTGTTCTCGAGTAGAGAGGATTGGATTCTCCGGGAGAAGGAAATATTAAGAGCAGATAGTTGTTGCTTCACAGATGGATCAAAAACACCTTCGGGTTCTGGACCCAGGACAGAGATATCAACCTGCTCAGCAACTTATGCGCCTGTATTTCAAGCGGAAATTTACGCTATTGAATTGTGTGCGGAGAGATTTGGAAGAATCCAACCTCATACACAAGTCAATAAAAATATTCTCGTACAGTCAAACGGCGTTGGAAGTTCTTGGCTCCTACCGAGCGACGTCTAAATTGGTAGCAAATTGCCAAAAACGACTCTCCACGATAAGAAGACTTAACGGATTGTCTCTGGTCTGGATTCCTGGCCATACTGGCCTGGAGGCAACAGCCAATGAGGCTGTTGACTCTCTTGCAGAAGAGGGTGCTGCAAGCAGCTTCATCGGACCAGAACCTATCATTGGCATCGGTCGTATTCAAATGGAGTTTGAACCATCATTCAACCAATACATTTTATATAATTATGCTTTTTTGTGGTTTTCGGAGTCTTGTTCTGTGTGTTACAAGAAGTAAGTGCAAGAAACGCAGGTGAAGTGTCAGAGACGCTTACAAAAAGGAAAAAAAGAAAAAGGATCCACAGGAAGTGCCAATGAAAACAATAGGATGATGGATGATGGATGGATGGATGATGTGGAAGATGAAGGGAAGAGTTTCACGAACGTTTTACCTTCACCAAAAAATCAACAGCCAACTTTGACTTTTTCCGATTTTTATAAAATTAACGGAAAACAGAGTTTTTTGAAACAGATTTCACTTATTTCTTTTTCAAATTTCGCGTGTGACCAGAAAATATGGTCGTCCTCTTCACCATTTTTCATTTGTTTAAGAATAATCATTGCAATTTGTTTTTTCTTCTTTGGATTAGTTTCATAATGACACATCGATACACTGTCTGTTGTCCGTCAGTACGTCAACTGAACAGCGAAACATGCTTCGCTTAGGAAAACATTAAAACACCGCGTGATAAGTTTCACGCCCCTGCCGACGCGATTAGGACGAACCCGGTTCCTGCTGCGCGAAAAACACGTCGCTAGGAAAACATACCTTGAAGTGATGCCAATGACAGATTCTGGTCCGATGAAGCTGCTTGCAGCATCCTCCTTTGCAAGGGAGTCAGCAGCCTCATTGCCTTCCAGGCCAGTATGGCGAGGGATCCAGATCAGAGACAATCTGTCAAACCTCCTTATCGACGGGAGTCGTTTTTGGCAATTTGTTACCAATTTAGAAGTTGAAATACAGTCGCATAGGTTCCTCGGCATCTTAATATCTCTGCCCTGGGTCTGCGACTGAAAGCACCTGCACCAGAAGCTGGAGGTGTTTTGATCCATCTGTGAACCAACAACTATCTGCTCTTAATATTTCCTTCTCCCAGGAGGATCCAGTCCTTTTTACTCGGGAACAGTGCTTCATAAGGCAGTTCGTAGTTGACTCCATAAAAATGTGGAGAGGAGGTATACGTAGAAGGATCTCCATGGCAGCTGACGGTGTGGTACTGATGGTACCACTGATAGCCAGACAAGCCTGTCTCTGTAATTCAGAGAGCTTCGTTTGGTCCGTTTTCTGTAAAGCCTCCTGCCACCAGGCAATTACACCATAAGTGATCATTGGTCTGACAATCATCACATAATTACCACAATTCCTTCGACATGTCCATAGGGACAATCTGGCATTGCGTAAAAAAATTCCAAGTGAACGTTCCAGGTAAGTCTCTATCAAGGACAATGCCAAAATATTTCACCTCCGTTCTAAATGGAATGACCTCACCACTGCAGGAAAGTGGCGTTTCAACGTCCAATTTTCTCCTCTTGGTGAAACTGGACTATCACAGTTTTGCTGGGGTCTCAATCTATCTTGTTGATCAGGTAGTAGCAGACATTCGGGGTTTTTTGGCTTGAATCAGAGGTCACAATTTGCGTACTCCTAAGCAAGAACTGGAGATTGTAGGCAACACGAAGCATCGACGCTTCAAAGACGAAGCCGCCTTTGATTTATAATCTCCGATTCCTCTGAATTGTATTCTGTATTCTGATCAACAATAAATTATTATTCTACGTTATTTTCCAGAACATGTCATTTTCCGCAACTAGAGCAACACCGGAAAACATTCAAAAGGCATTCCGAAGCATTGAACGTATGCAGGCTAGCGAAGGTACTAACAGCATCGGTGGATTGGAGGTTGGTCTTTCCTTGGTGAAATCAGTGCAAAATAAAAACTCGGTGTATGTACCAATAATAATATTTCTTACGGATGGACAGCCAACAGTGGGTGTTATGGAAATTCGAAGTATAGTTGATACGGTAAGAGAATCTTCCTTTTTATGATTACTAAGGCTGAACTTAGTCCCTTGGCAATAGTAGGTAAGAGGTTTTACTAAGCCTGAATGATGCGTTGTGAAAAGTACCTAGTCTAGCATTCGTTAGGTATAAATAAACAATGATAACTAACTAAATGTTTCTAATAGTGAAGAGTAATTAATGCTCATTATAAATGCAAAGCGCTAACAGATTGCTCGAACAAGATTTTGTAATTTCGTTATGATTTACCACAACTGTAGGGTGGTGGCCAATCATATTTTTGTGTCGAAAACGAGTCGCAAACACTTCAACTAAAACCTCAACTATTACTCAAATGTCAATCGCCTTATTAGATCGCCCCGCGTACTGCACTGTCACTTCAACTTGACTATCCCGATAGGCGAGTGGATCGCGTTTATATTTGAAGACCACAGGGGAATATCGGGCTTTGTCACAAAAACGAAATTCGTGAGAAATCAAATTTTAAACTTTTAAAACCTTCTGGCCATACTCTATTAAGGATATACCGTTTTTTCTTAGATTTTCTTAATCGTTGGTATCTATACGAATGGCTTTGAACGTAAGAGGGCCCTAGATGCCATCTGCGAGTCGCAATAACCATTTTTGACTGTATCGATTTGAGATACATATGCGTATCAAGAAAATAAATTGCGAAACTTTCATATCTCCCAAGGTTCCTATGCAGTAGGATCTAATAAATACCTGCCGTAAAATAAATGCTTTCCTGGCTAATACCAGGATAATTCCAGATTTTGCTGTGTTGAAACGGTAGGAGAGATGAATGTTTTGCAATTCATTTTCTTAATTCGCATGTATCTCAAATCGATACAGTCGTCACTTATTTTGATTTATGTTAGAGTGAGATGTTTTCTTCTCTATTTTGGGGCTTTATTTCTTAGACGAAGGTGTCATACATGCAGGCGAGCCGCGTTGAAGTCAGTCGAGCACAGATTATAACTACGTTGAGACAAGTATTTTGACAGTTTCCCGCCTTTTTTGTTTATTTCCTTAGACATCCACCTCAGCGCTGTGTTATACATTAAATGTGCAATGCACACAGCACATGTTTTGGCGTGTGTTTTGTTTTTGTTATTGTTTATTGATCTTTATCCTGTTATATCGCTTTTTTTTCTCAGAAACCAAGTTTTAGGTTTTTTATATATACCTTTCAATAAATGTAACATTTTTTCACATTTAATCACGATCGTTTTTTTCACTACGAGAGTAGCAAATTTTGACTTCTGATATCACAAAAGATCGTCTTGACATGAGCACTGTAAGACTAAATCACATAATAAAGGGATATATTTCAGTAGTTTTTGCTGCATTTTGGTAGTTTTGATATTACTTGCCTTTCTAACCAACAATTTCTATTCATCCTAAGTTGTAAACATTATATAACTTTCGAATTGATTATTTGTTGTACAGAAAATCATGAATAGCAACTCAAAATGCAGCTAATTCTACCATAATAGATTTTTTCCAATTAATCAATCTAGATCCTTGTTGAAAATTCAAAATTTACCGCCAAATTTCACTATCGATAAAACAGTTCCCTTAGCCGGAGGAGTATCTGTTATCTAGCAGGTCATTGGATGTTTCGAAATGTTTATTTCTCATCTTCTGTTCAAAATACAAGAGTCGACAGAAAACAAATAGAAATATCGATTATTTTGTAATAAAATCGGAAGAATTTCAAACGATTAGCGTTATTTTCGAAGTGCTGACAAACATATTATTTTATTCAGATTACAAATATCAACCAAAGAGAATACAAGGCTCCCATATACGCCATTTCTTTCGGTGTTGATGTTGACTGGAACTTTTTGAATTCTCTCAGCTGGCAAAACGGAGGCAGGGCAATAAAGATCGAGATTGCTAGAGATTCCGCTGTTCAGTTGCTGAACTTTTATAAGGAGATTTCGGTACCTATTTTACGGGACATCACGTTCAAGAATTTGCCGGACTCAGAGGAAGTCACCAAGTCGAGTTTTCCGGTATTTTTTGAGGGATCAGAATTGAACGTAGCCGGGAAAGGTGAGTTTTAAAAGAAAGTAAATACATTTTGGTAACTCGTTTATTCAAATATTGTATAAGAATGATGGTTCATGAATTTAAAATACTCCCTGTATTGTGAGATATGAAAATGAAATTTGGTGGGTGTTGAGAGATAATGGGCTTGTTTCATGATTTTTGGTTTATAGTTCACTTGATAGAAATTTTAAATTGAAGAACAGTGCACTTTGTTTTATCTCTCTAAGTACCGCAGTTTTCCCGTAATTAATTATTAAAAATCGAATCTGGTAGGGTGGTGACGTCACGACACTATTCCCGCTTCTTGTTCGATTGACCAATAGGAACAATAGAAATAATCAACATTGCCAAATCGTAAAATGGAAGTGTATATGAACCCGTTAACGTTTCAATTAATGAAAAATTCTACACATGAAATAAAATGTTTAGTTACTTTTTAAATGATTTCTATAAAGACTTGGAAGTGTGGAAGGATTTTAGTTATTTCTTGTCAATACTTTCACTCATTTTTTCCTCATCATTTTATCCTTTGGGAACCTAAACTCATTATATGAAATAACTCACGTATAAAGCAATGCGCTTTCTGTTTTCTTGTACCTTTCGGCATAATGAAAATCAGCACAAGAATGCACCATATTAATATTCGAATATATCTCTAAAACACTTTTAAAACACACACAAACTGAACTCGATGAAAACACGAATTTTTCCTACGCGAGCTGTCATCTAAGAAAAAGAAACTCAATGTTGCTAAAACAAGCATAATGCATCCGATATGACATACATTTTCAATGGCGAATAAACCAATAAATTGTGATATGGGTACTCCATTTTCCTGAGAAAATGAATGATCAATTAAAATTTTCTGTAATCACTCATTCATTTTTTCAAGAATAAAGCCAGCAAACAAATAAATATATAATAATAAGATCGCTCGAATCCACGAATTAAGCATAAAAATGGACAATAATATTTTCTTTGATAACTGATTCAGAATATAATTTAACGAGCTGTATTTTCAGATGGTTTTCGAATGCTCATGAACCCTAATAATATAAATCAATTATGCATTCATGCCACCCACCAAAAATTTAAAATTCAACGTTACTGGTACATTAGGCATATTTTCATCCAGTCAGCCAGCGCTCTCTGTGGTGTATGTGACAATGTGCTCTTTCTACTGTCAATCAGAGACAACCAAATGTCAATGGTTTCCACACATAACTTCGTGTTTTTGTTAAAATAATTTCAAAATGAATGTTAAGCCTAGTTTTGTTAAAACTGACTCCGACAACTTACCAAGAGTCGATTTTGAAATGATCGATGAATTTTACTTGAAAAATTTGCAATACTTTGGTACCGAAAGAAGGTCATTTCAGACTTTGTGTTTTATCAAAGAATGGAAAGTTTTGATTTAATTTTTATTTCAGCTCGACCAACTAAAGAAAACCATAGATCTCTAAGAGTTTCGTTTTTTGGAACATTGAAAAACTTTTTGTCTGATATGGATGAACTGTTTTTACAACTGGGTATAAAACATATTTAACCATTTTGGTGTCCATCATTGCGCATTTGTATACATGCATTTTATTACTCATCATTGGCGCGCACACGGGTAACGATCTCAATGTTTTTTTGAAGAGAAAAATGGTACGCCACTGAGATATTTCAAACTAAAAATCATTTGTAAATTCCTCGTTCAATTTGTGGAAAACAATCTCTCTCGCCTTCGTTTCGTATAGGGTGCAGTGTATATACAAAAAAATAAGCATTTCAACGCGTATTTTTCATTTCTTCAATACATTATTTAGCTAGAGTAAGACATCGCCAAAATTCTGTCGAATACGAAATGTCAAATTGACATTCCATCATTTTTAAGCTTTCAGTTTGATATAACATTAATGTTGATGATTGATTAAATTTTATCGAAAAGACTGGAAAGTTATACAAATGCGGATTGTTAGACATGCAGACGTAGAGTTTCTCGTCACACAATATTGGCGCGACTTCAACGACATTCGCGCGTAAATGGTACATTTTACATTATACAGTCTCTACTACCTAGGGACTTTTAACCTCGCATGTTTTTTTGCCAGTGGATTCTTCATCAAAAACTGATTTTTTTAATGGCGTTTTGTTTACTGACGAAGCTAATTTTGGACGACAGTGTATACGAAATTACCATAACAATGCTAAAGCTTATTTTCAGCATTAGTTTTCAGTAAATGTTTTAGCTTGGGTACTTGATGATCATTCAATCGGTCCATATTTCCTCCCACAACGGCTAATGGGTGACTCTCACCTTAATTTCCTGCAGGAAAAGTCACCTGTTCTTTTTGAAGAAATTCCGCTTCAGCTGAGATAACACTTCTGGTGAATTAATGTACGTAATCACTCAGATACAGTATATACAAATCGTTGGATAGCCAGGGAAGGTACCAACATTGGCCTGCTCGATTACCGGATTTAAATTCTCTAGATATTTGCATTCAGGGTTTTCTCAACTCGTCAGTTTATTCCACTCACGTCGAAAAAATGTTGATGGCCTGGGGAATAGAATTGTATCCAGCTGTGCGACAATAAGAAATATATATCATAGTGAATACGACAATCAATGAGGCGAAGAGTTGAATTTTGTATCATGTGTGTGGAAGGTCATTTAGAACATTTGTTGTAGCTCAGCGACTATTTATTTACCAGTGTTATGTTCTATTATTGTTCTGGTTTAATGTCATTGTATTAGATAGTAACTGATAGGTTTTTTTGCATAAAACGGCGCAGTGTAACTTCTGAATAAACTTAGTGCTCAGCGCTTAGTGAAATAATCAAATAAAAAAAGATACCCTACGAATATAGACTCACATAGTTTTTCAAAAGGCGAATAAAANCAACTGTTAGATCAGTTTTATGCTTCCAACGACGAAATTTTCTTTAATAAGGCGTGCAATTTGACTGTCCAACATTCATTCTTAACCGAGTATTCTTCTATGATAGTCACTTTGCCTAAAAACTTGGAAATACTCTTGAACATTGAGGGAGGAGTGCTCAGAAATCAACCAAAGCTAGGAAAGCCACCACAATATTGCTCGGACTTGCCAGGTACGTTGATAATAATAATAATCACGGAGAGTTTCGCAACAATACAGCAAAGCAAATGAAAAACCATAACATCCAACTCCTTCCCGATGACATTCTCTTATATTTTAAAATGGTATCAATTCAGTGAAGTTGTAGAAAAATAATGAAGATCTCTAAGATTCTATATGTTTGTTTATTTTGAAATTCTCTGAGAGTTGTAAAAACATCGTTCCACTTGGCTGAAAATTGTGCAGATAAATCAGAATTTTCTTTGATGAATCGGTATAATTCACCACACCCTGTATAGTTGTATTCAGACCGAACAGCAGATATACATGAAAGTTAAAAGAATTTTGCTAAGGTATCTTTAAATTAATTCAAAATGATTTAAATTGAAAGGAGTATATTTCAGCGGATGATTCGTTTTTCGGGAAAGAAGCTTTTTGTAGAAGTGGAAAGCCAAAAAGTTTTTTTTCAATCTGATATATTTGTAATAACAATATTTTCATCTATTTGGTGTACTGCAACAAAATTTTTGTTGAACTTATCAAAACCATTACAAACGCATTTATAAAGTACCAGTATTTTTATCTATTTAATTAAAAATTTAAATGAATATTGTGTTGTAAATCATCCCCTGAAAAAAATTAAGGCCGGCCGCCGCTGGTCGTCGTATATCGATTGTGACTTGGCCAAGATCGCGCTCAACTCGACTTACGCTTCGCGATTGTTTTACATACCGCGTCGCTTCGATAGACTTCTAACGACCTCCCTATCAGCTTCGAGAGACTTCGATTATCATATATAAACACTACCCACACGCATATCGATGAAGTCTACTTGACGACAGTGCGGTACGAAGTGATCTAATAAGGCGATAGCTATTTGAGTATTAGTCTGAAGTCTCAGTCGAAGTATTTGGTAGCATTGTCAGTGTAGCAGTGAAATAAAGTTGGGTTTAAATTTTTCATAGCAATGATCATCTCACTAATTGATAAAATAATTTGGGCAATGGCCTCAGGGTATGCTTAGGGGCGGAACAATATTGCAAAGAAGGTATTCTTTGAAAGATAGTTTTTGTGGAAAGTCATGTTTTTCGCTGCNGATCAAAATTGAAAATGAGCCTTCGGAGGGATAAACAGTTCTCTTTTATAAATATAAGGAAATAAAAAACATAAACCAATAAGGAATAAACCATATCGCATAAGGATTTCATTTCATGCATGTATTTTTCTCAGTTGGCTCCTCTGTTTAGTTGTCATCAATGCCAATTGGCATCACTGTTAGTTGTCATCAATGTCAGTTGTCATCAGTGTCAGTTGTCATCATGAATCCAATAAATATTAAGGATATCAATCAACACCAATGACAAATACATAGACTAGGGAACATAGAAATCCTTCTCCGATATGGACTGTTATTTCCTTTATTGATATGAAATCATTTGAGTTTATCTACGGTTCATCTATCAGAAATCACAGAAGATTTGGGCTCATGACAATGTTTCAGTTGCAGAAAACTGTATTCTTCGCCCTACACCGAGGAAATGCGCGGATGGTTCGGAAAAATGGTTCTTCAATCAGCTGAGAGGGTACTGCACATCATTCAACTACTGCGGTTGTGAGAAAAATGACCTCTATTTCGCCAGTAAAGAGATTTGCGACGAAACTTGCGTCATTGTTGAAGGTATATTATATTATATTGTAGAATATAACTCCTCCGGGGTAGGGAAGGGGTTTAATAAAATAAAACTCCTCCAGAATAAACTAACTTATGTATTTTCCCGGCAATTCTAGTTCAGTGACTGACGTTCAATAAATGGGTCTAGGGACCACATCCGCCTCTCATCAACTTATCCATGTTCACGAAATCATAGAATCAACAAATGTCAAGTTATTGTTTTCATAAAGAATTCTACTGCTACAGCCATTTTCAA